TAATTTCTTTGCTTGGGGCGGTAAAAAACCTAGAGCCAGCCCCGGGCACGTGGCACACATGCGGCGCCGCCCCCAGACATGTGGCACACGTGCAGCCCCGCCACTGGGCACCCAGTGCACACGCGGCCCCACCCCCAGGACCCCAGCAGAACCAGAAGGTTGGGGACCACTGGTCTAGAGAACATGACCTATGAGGGAAGGCTGAAAGAATTGGGTTTGTTTAGTTTAGAAAAGAGAAGATTGAGGGGGGATATGATAGCAATTTTCAGGTATCTAAAAGGGTGTCACAAGGAGGAGGGAGAAAACTTGTTCATCTGAGGATAGGACACGAAGCACTGGGCTTAAACTGCAGCAAGGGGGGTTTAGGTTGGACATTAGGAAAAAGTTCCTAACTGTCAGGGTGGTCGAACACTGGAAGAAATTGCCCAGGGAGGTTGTGGAATCCCCATCTCTGGAGATAATTAAGAGTAGGTTAGATACATGTCTATCAGGGATGGTCTAGACAGTATTTGGTCCTGCCATGAGAGCAGGGGATTGGACTTGATGACCTCTTGAGGTCCCTTCCAGTCCTAGTATTCTATGATTCTTTGGTTGCAAGTGCAGGGGGGGGGGGAAGGAGGCAGAGGGGGATGGCTTACCCTGAGAAATTGAAGGAAATGTGTAGTTCATCTGTGCAGACTTTGTCATCGCCGCAGTCTTTCTCAAACGGGAGCTAGGGAGACATCCCGGGGGGAAGGGAGAGGAGGGAGGAGATCATGAGGTTAGAAAGGGATTGGAATAAACTCAGACGGCATTTTCACCCATCATACAATCTCAATTGTCATCATCACCACCAGCAATACAATCTGAAACAACAGTATTACCAAGAGCACCATGGCTGCTTTCTCCCAATACACTGTGACCTGCACCATTGCATGCCAACAGAACCATTATGCCTCAACCACCACTGTCAACAAGTTCCCTACCATCTCAACCACAACCAACATCACCTTCAAAACTCTCTGAGGTAACACTGTCCCCAGTGATATAAATGCAAGAGCTTCTGCCAATGCTAGCACCTCAACTGTTGTCTCAACCATCACCTTCACCGCTACCTCCAATACAGTGTCAAACAAAACTGTTACAATGACAGAAGCACTACAAACTCAGCCAACAATATAATTAACATCATTACAATAACACCATCCACCACTGTGAATCTAATCTGAAATAACACTGTTACAATGGATAATGAGTAACACTGTAACTAATAGCATTAATATTTCAACCATAAAAACACATCAACAAAATCTAAAACAATTGTCAGACAACAACCTCAAACTGTAACCAACGCCACTACAATCTCTGCCATCCAATTGTAGCGAGTGTAACAGGACAGTAACAAATGCAACCATTACAACCTCAAACACTCTCATTAATGCTACTACAATCTTAATACAATCAACCAGCATTGCAAATGCAATCTGTACCAGACAAAATAAGAAAAAAGCCAAACTAATCTGAATCAACACATGAGCAAAACTATTACACTCTTAACCAGCATCACCCATACCACAATAACTACACCCTCAGCCAACACTGTAACTAAGATTACTACAATCTGAATCAACCTTACTAACCCAGCTAATTCGACCTCAATTTATATTGTCACCAAAACCATTGCAGTACTAACCACTAATGCAATCAGTAACACTATCATTTCAACCTCACCCAGCACTGTCACCCACATTACAATTTTACCCATCAACATAGAACATCAATACCATAATCAAAACCACAGTCACTAGAACAACGTCACACACACTACAACCTTACCGAGCCTGCTGACACCAGTGCAGAGTCCTCGCTCAGGATGGGTCTGAGGCTGCTGGTGGCAGTGATGGGCTCCCCCTTCAGGGTATAGTTGAGGCGCAGGGTGATGGGGGTCAGAGTGTCCTCAGGGCAGAGCTGGGGAGACAGAGAGACACGTAGGGACCCGTGAGAAAAAGCAGGATCCAGGAGAGGTTTGTTCTCTGGGTGGTTTGGAGCAAGGGGCAGAGTTGCAGGGGCAGACACAGCAGGAGGGGGAGGAGCTGGGAACCCCCCCCCCCACACACTCACAGGTAACATTATCGGGTGTGTCTCACATCTCCGTTCAATGCCCAGTTGCAGCTCCCTGCTCAGGACAGGGCCAGTGGAGCCGAAGGCAGCTCGGATCTTCCTCCGCCCGGGATCCAGGGCCAGGCTGTATTGGATGGTGCTGGAGATCCTGTTACCTACAGAGGAGGGGAAATGCAGGACAGAGGCTGAGAGCAGGACGCTCAAGGGGAAATGGGACACGGGCGTGCGCTGGCTCCAATCCTGCCCCAAGACAGGGGACTAGGAGATTAGGGGGGAGGGAATCAGGGGGTGGGTTTGGTCTGACCTAGGCTGTCCCTGGTGCTCTTTGTGATGGTGAAGCAGATCTCTGACATGCTGGCCTCCATGTTGAGCTGCTCCTGCTCCTGGCAGTCGAAGGCTGAGGTGGGGATCGTGGGGGGGGGGAAGTTGATGGACACCCCGACTCTGAGCACTGGCCGAGACCTGCCGGGTGGAGAACAGAACCAGGCGGGGATGGGGGGGGGCCGGAAGCTGATGGACACCCCGACTCTGAGCACTGGCCGGGACCTGCCGGGTGGAGAACAGAACCATCATCCCGCCACTCCCTGCACTGGGGCTAGGCCCCGTGCCTCCCCTGAGCCTCCCACCCTGCCTGGATGCTCCCCGAGCAGGCAGGGAGACGGGTTATGGACACACAGCGCGGTCAGAGGAGATGCTGGGAGGCAGAGAAGGAGGCAGCCGCGCTGTTATCCTGCCTTTCCCCAGCAGGGGGTGGCAGACACCCACCCCCACAGCCCATGTCCAGGCTCTGTCTGAGATTGCCCGGTGGGGCAGGGCCAGGACACAGAGGGACTCACCTCAGCAGCAGGACCTGCCCTTGTGCTCCCACCGCGATGTCCGGCAGCCCATCCCCCGTCAGGTCTGTCCCGCCACTGACGGCCTGGCCAAAGTAGTGCAGCCTGCTGGGGAACTGCGCCCCCCCTATGCGCTGTGGGGCAGAGACAGCCGTCAGGGGAGGGAGGCAGCTGTTCTACATAGTGGGCACCATATAAGGGCCCACTATATAGAACAGCAAGGAATCATAAAACACTTCCACTGGAAGGGACCTTGAGAGACAATAACTAATCATCTCCCGACCAGGGACTTGACCCCTCAGCTCTCAGATGAAAAGCCCGCTCCCGTACTGACTGAGCTAGGGCAGGTCTCTGACTACATGAAAGGGGACTTGAACCCTAAATTCGCAGTCCCTGCACAACAACCCAAGCCACTCAACTAACCATGGCCGCCACCAAAGGGTCCTTATAACATCCCATCGGGGCTGTGAGCTGACCGCTCTCAGCAGGGCTCACCTGTCTGTACTGGGCACTGAGGCCTCCCGTTTCCCCGTGGAAGATGTACAAAGCCCCGCTGTTGTCATTCTCTGTGGGAGCCCCGATGGCCACGTCCGTCTGTCCGTCCCCGCTGATGTCCCCCATTTCAGACATGCTGGCCCCGAAGCGTCCAAATGCCTGACCCTTCTGCCCCTGCAGGGTCGTGGTGCAGTTCAGCGTGATGCCCTGCCGGCCCATCCAAAGAGACACATGGGGAATAGAGCAGCATCAACTGTGTGGGTGAGCGCCCCCTACTGAGCCTCTCCCTGCCTCTCCCAGCAACATGGCACCCTCCAGCGTGGGACAGGTGCCAGCATGGACTGTCCAACGAGCACTCCCTCTACCGACCCTCCCGCCTCCCTCCCTGGAGCCTGGTGTTAATTTTCAGAGCATCCCAGCCCCATGGCCCCGCAGGTAAAAACACGACCCACAGCCCTTCCATCCTACCTGCTGGCTAACCAAGCACAGATACACCCGCCCTCCATTCAGAGGTGTATAGAACGTGGGGGCTCCGATCAGAACCAGGTCCGTCTTCCCATCACTGTTGAGGTCCACAGCGCACAGCGAACCCCCGAAATACGAGCCAATCTGGAGGGGCAGTGAAGTCACTCCTTCATCTTAGTCACCTTCTCCATTTTCTTCCACCAACACCCCAGCACCTGCCCCTGTTCCCAGGTTCAGTCCATCCTCTTCCCTCACCCACCCTTTAGACACAACAGGCGGTGCCATTACTGTCAGTTTTCTGTCCAAGGGGACATAGAGGCCAAGGTAGGCAGCATCTTTCAGAGACGCTGAATGCACGTTGTGGTGCATTTCTTCTTAGACACCGTGCTTGCACAAGTAGCATTGATTCACTATCTGCACCCCTCTAAGTCACTGTCGTAAATCCTGCCCAGCTGAAAGTGGGAGGCAGGGAGATCTAGGAGTAGCATACAGTGTTCACGGCGGTGCAATCCTGCTCAGACCCCGTGGCTACGTCTACACTGGCATGATTTTCCGGAAAAGCATTTTCGGAAAAGCACGTCTAGATTGGCAGGATGCTTTTCCGCAAAAGCACTTTAGACGCGGAAAAATGTGGAAAAACTTGCCAGTCTAGACACAGCCCGTGCGTATTGTCAGTAATGTTTTAACGCTGTCTTCATTTCTTTCTGTTAGTCTGATGAGTTCTGTCTAAGGCTTGGTCTACGCTAACCAATTAGGCTGGTATAGCTATATTGCTCAGGGGCATGAAAATCCATCCGCCTGAGCAATACAAGTAAACTTACCTACCCCCTGGGGTAGTTGGTGCTAGGTGGATGGGAGAATTCTGTTGCCAACATAGCATCTGTCTCTTGGGTATGTCTATTCTGCACACGTATTTTGGAACAAGCTATTCCAGAAGAAATACTCTGAAATAGCTTATTTCCAAATAGCGCTTCTACAGGGAAGCCTCGAAATGAGTCTGAGGCAGGCTCCCCTAATGTGGACACACGACCCCGATTTACAGCCCCAGGATTCACCAGGGAGGAATGACTTTGAATGGCCCTGAGGAGGAGCTATTTCAAAATAGCAGCAATGTGTCTACACTACAACTATTTAAAAGTAGCTATTTCAGAAGAGGTGCTATTCCTCATGGAATGAGGTTTACAGAAGTCGGAATAAGTTGCTCGTTATTTCAAATTTATTCCTTGATAACGGAATTGCTGTGTAGACTTTCGCATTGTTATTCCCACGCTGCTGTGTGGGAGAGATTTTACCTAGGCCAATAGGAGAAACCTCCCGTTGGCAGAGGTATCCTCCTCACTGCAGTGCTCCAGCTGCACAGCTTCAGCGGTGAGGAGTTTCTGAGTGCAGACAAACCCTCGCTGAATGTCAGGGCACTGGGATGCCGACTGTCAGCTGCGGTGCAGTTCTCTAAACTCGTCCAAGCTTTCCCCTGCCCGAGTCATTCTGACTGAATCACACTATAACAGGGTGTCAGAATGGTACAGGCTTCCTTCAAGACTGGCTCCACCCTGTGTGTCATGCTCTCCATACCTGCTCTCCTTCCTTCGCCCAGCTGGCTGCCCATTGCACGCCATTGGTATCTCGGCTGAACAGAACGACTCTGCCGACGTGCTGGTAGCGAGGGGCCCCGACCACGTAGCTGCTCTGCCCGTGGGCGGTGATGACCTGAGATGAATAACCTCAAAAGAACAGAGGGACACGGAGAGGTGAGATGGGAAACAGCCACACGACAGGGTTCTGTTGTGACCCCGTGTGTGTGTGTATGTGCCTCAGTTTCCCTGGGCCCTGCACTGGAATTCAGCTGGGCATTCAGCTCGGGACAGGGGATGGTATGGACTGCCGGGGGAGACAGCGCCCCCTATTCAGGCCACAATGGAGGCAACCTCTTAGATGGGGAAGGGCCTGTGTGGCGTAGGGGGGGGTTGTATTCACTGGGTTCCCTTTGTTATGTTGGGTGTGATTCCTACTGTCCTGTGAGGTTCTGTTGTGACCCCGTGTGTGTGTGTATGTGCCTCAGTTTCCCTGGGCCCTGCACTGGAATTCAGCTGGGCATGGGAATGTTGGGGGCGGCTCTCCCTGAGTGGGAGGCCATCCCTGACTGCCCCATCTTAGCAGGTACCCAACAATAGCTCAGACTGTCCTGTAACCTGAGCCTGGGTGGGGGAGCAACCAGGTGACACTTTGCCCAGGAATCTGAACAAAGGCGGGGGCGGGGCTGGAGGGCTGGGGCCAGTTGCTGGGTGTGAGAGTTACTCTGGGCTGGGGGAGGATGCAGGGAGGGGGACCAGGGTGCTGGCCTTGGGCCTCCCTCTCCCCAAGGTGGATTGTGCTGGCTGCTCCTGGTTCCCTTTGTTAGCAGCAAGTGGGTGCTACGCTGTGTCCCTGTCAACCAATAAACCTTCTGTGCCACTTGCTGGTGGAGAGGCAGGTCTGGCTGGGGGGGGGCGGGCTGGGGGGTTGCAGGGCCCGGTGACTCCCCCACACTCCGTGACAGCCTGTTCATACCGCAATCACTCCCCCAGAGCAGAGATGCAGTTGCCGCTGGGGTGGAGTCAGGGGGCTGTTTGAAGGGGCAGGGAAGCTCTCTGGCTGTGTCCTTACCCAGGTAAGCATAATCCATGTCGCTGGAGGTTCTGGACACATTGATGAAGCTCGGCTCCCCACTGGTCCCATATAAATATATCCCACCAGACCAGTCGTAGGCTCCCACCGCTCCCAGCACCGGCCCCTCCTAAACCAACACACACAGCAAAGAGAGGGATGACGGATAACGCGCCGCTCAGGAGAGATTCACAAGACTCCCCCATCCACCGCACAGCACGGCTCAGCACAGGACAGGAGACAGCGGGGACTGCCGGGGGAGACAGTGCCCCCTACTGAGGCCCTGCAGGCAGGACAGCACCCCTCAGACATCAAGGGAAAAGCAGCTCTCACACCGCTCCTGCAGGGGTCGCTGGGGCTTTCGAGTCACCCACAGGCATCAGGGGGCCAGGAGATGCACAGGAGTGTGCAGGGCAGCAGAGCCAGCAGCTTTTCAGGCCTTAAACCAGCCTCAGGATCCTTAGGCTGAAAGATCCATCAGGGCAGCGTGGGGCAGGCCCTAGGGCCAGGCGTCACTCACCGGGGACAGCAGGGAGCTGAATCCCTCCTGAGACATCTCCAGCTGGAAGGAGCTGCTGCTCTGGGACTGGGTGCCTGGGGGGACAGACAGACAGACACAGGAGACACCATCATAGAGAGGAAAGGCCCCATGTCACATTCTCTGCTCCCCAGAGCCAGCCCCTCCCCCCACCTCGAGGCTGTGTTGGATCCAGTTCCCCCTAGAGAGAAGGCCCCTGTATCACATCCCTCAGTCCCTTGAGCCAGACAGGCCCCTGCCTGGTGGCTGGGGAAAGAGACCTTCGCTGGAGAAGATCTTCTCCTGCAGCTGGCTCTGGATGCCCTGGAGGGCGTCGAAATTGTCCACCCGGAAGACGTGCTGGTCGGCGGGTGCAGAGGCGATCTCTTGGAGTTCTTGTTGAGCATCATCGCTGGAGAAGGCATCGCCGACCTTCACGGAGTAGAGGGAGTTTCAGAGGAGACCAGGTGTATGCGTCAGTCACAGCCAAGAGCCCTGGGCACATGCCCCCCTGCTCTGAGCCCTGGGTCAAGTCACTCCACACGTGTCCCTAGCCCTGCCCTGCAGCCCCTTGTGGCGCCCTGCATTGCCAGGCCAGCAGAGCGGCCCTGTGATGGGACACCCCACCTGGGCCATGCTGGTGCTGCTCAGCCCCACCAAGTGCGGGGGTGGAACAGCCTTTACCAGAATCTGCTGCTCAGTCAGGCTAGTGAAAGGCCGGCTCTGCGATAGCATCACTGGTCCAGTTCACTGTCCCAGCACTTGTGTCTTCTGTGCTTGAAGGAACCATCCTCTCCCTCCTGTACCCTGTCCCTGGCCTCAGACCCCCACCAGCTCTCCGCCCGGTTGTGGCTCACCCCAATGGCGTAGCGGGTGATCCCAGCGCTCTCCGCCTCGGGGATAACGTCTGAATAAGAAAGTGGGTCTTTATATTTCCGCCCATCTGTGATCACAATGAGAATCTTGGAGGCCTCACTCCGAGCGCCGCCCCCAGAGGTGAACAGCTCCTGCCTGGGAATGGAGGGGAACACAGGGAAGGGTTAATGCTCCACCTACCTACCTCTCTGTGTCTGTCTGTGAGTCTACTGGTTCAAGAACTCCTAATGGCGATACCTAGGCCCACCTAACTTGGCATGCAGCTTCCTCGTCTCCTGTCTTAAAGTTCAGCCGGAGTTTGGTTGTGCCAGAGCAACAGGACGCTTCATGAAAAGGAGTTTTCCAGAACATGAAAACAAGGAACAGCCCTGCAGCATCTTGGGGAGGAACAAAGCGCGCAGACACGGTCACTACGGTGCTGCCAGACTATTTGTTGTTTTTTCCGTTACAGACTCGCTTGGCTCCCCGCTGATTCCCTAACATGCAAAGGGAGGGGCTGTGGTTCGGAGGGACGCGACAGGAGAGTGGCTGCTGGAGGCAGGGAGCACAGGGGAGAGCTGTACTGAAGAGTGGTGACTGGGAGCAGGGAGCTCAGGGGAGAGCTGTACTGAAGAATGGTGACTGGGGGCAGGGAGCTCAGGGGAGAGCTGTACTGAAGAATGGTGACTGGGGGCAGGGAGCTCAGGGGAGAGCTGTACTGAAGAATGGTGACTGGGGGCAGGGAGCTCAGGGGAGAGCTGTACTGAAGAATGGTGACTGGGGGCAGGGAGCTCAGGGGAGAGCTGTACTGAAGAATGGTGACTGGGGGCAGGGAGCTCAGGGGAGAGCTGTACTGAAGAGTGGTGACTGGGAGCAGGGAGCTCAGGGGAGAGCTGTACTGAAGAATGGTGACTGGGGGCAGGGAGCTCAGGGGAGAGCTGTACTGAAGAATGGTGACTGGGGGCAGGGAGCTCAGGGGAGAGCTGTACTGAAGAATGGTGACTGGGGGCAGGGAGCTCAGGGGAGAGCTGTACTGAAGAATGGTGACTGGGGGCAGGGAGCTCAGGGGAGAGCTGTACTGAAGAATGGTGACTGGGGGCAGGGAGCTCAGGGGAGAGCTGTACTGAAGAGTGGTGACTGGGAGCAGGGAGCTCAGGGGAGAGCTGTACTGAAGAGTGGTGACTGGGAGCAGGGAGCTCAGGGGAGAGCTGTACTGAAGAGTGGTGACTGGGAGCAGGGAGCTCAGGGGAGAGCTGTACTGAAGAGTGGTGACTGGGAGCAGGGAGCTCAGGGGAGAGCTGTACTGAAGAGTGGTGACTGGGAGCAGGGAGCTCAGGGGAGAGCTGTACTGAAGAGTGGTGACTGGGAGCAGGGAGCTCAGGGGAGAGCTGTACTGAAGAGTGGTGACTGGGAGCAGGGAGCTCAGGGGAGAGCTGTACTGAAGAGTGGTGACTGGGAGCAGGGAGCTCAGGGGAGAGCTGTACTGAAGAGTGGTGACTGGGAGCAGGGAGCTCAGGGGAGAGCTGTACTGAAGAGTGGTGACTGGGAGCAGGGAGCTCAGGGGAGAGCTGTACTGAAGAGTGGTGACTGGGGGCAGGGAGCACAGGAAAGAACCAGGAATCCTGAGTCCCTCTAGCTTAGCTTGCAAGTCATTGCAGCCCTTTCCCTGTGGAGTCCACACAGGCAGGGGGGCGATACCTACACCACTTTCTGGATGGCGGTGGCCGTGTGCGTCTTTCCACGAAGCTGCTGAACTCTCCAGACAAGGTCGTTCGGGTCACGATTTCTGCTGTACTCCGTGAAGTTGAAGTGCTCTTTAAACTTATCGGAGTACTGCCTGAGCGCGAACTGCAAGGAGAGGCCAGGGAAAGA